CCGAGCCTAACGACGCCGCATTTGTCCCATTTTGTTCCTCTCGGAACCGCTTCTCTGAAACTCTCTGTTTTCTGTCCTGCAGGTACTCCCCAGCCTGGCTTCTCCGCTCCCTCATTCCTTTCCTCCTCCTCCTTCTTTCTCTCCTCCCCCCTCTTCCTCCCCCCTCTTTCTCCTTTTCCCCTCACCTCCCATCCCCTCGCTCTTCCCCCCCCCCCCTCTTCCTCGTGTCAGTAACGCACTCAGCGTTACATTCCTACAAGGTGTGCTTTTTGCAACGCGTCCATCAACAACACACTCTGGTCCTCTCTCTCTCCCGCACACTAGTAACGTAGCCTCGTAAACTGTCCTCGTAACGAGCCTTCGTTACTTGTTCTCGTAAAATGTTCTTGTAAATTGTTCTCGTAAAATGTTCTTGTAAATTGTTCTCGTAATGTTGAGTAATGTCCCCCTTCCCCCACTCCACTACCCCCCCCCCCCCCCTCCAATAACCAAGACATCACCCCCCCCCCCATATAACAGCTCTGAGCAAATAAAGATGATTGCACCTCTGCAACTCCGCTGAACGGACCCGCACTGGCTCCTTCAACATCACTCAATCTATCTGGCTTGTGTCAACAAACCTCCAGCCTCTTATCCTCACTTCATCTTAGACTTCCCAATTGCATCAAACTCTCCTCAAATTGACTCCTTGGCTCCTCTTTGTTGCATGGTGATACATATTGTGCTCTCATTCCATGCCTTCACTTTCTATCTATGCTTATATCGAGGCAAGCTTATATACTGATAGGTAAATAGACGCATTAGGTGAAAGGAAATGGGCCCAATCATTTCTGTTCCCAAAATGTGGCCAATCATTATTTAAGCTGATCCTTCGTAAGCTTCATAAAAAACACACAATAGGGTCTAAACATTTGGTGCTGGAGTTAAGGCCATTAGTGACGTCCGCGAGTTTGTTTACATAAGTTCCCGCTCTTCAGGTAGGAACAAATGTGGACAAACTGCTACCAATAATGTAGGAAAACACACGGAGACACTGAAGGTGACAATGCAGCAACACACACGGAGACACTGAAGGTGACAATGCAGCAACAAACACGGAGACACAGAAAGCCACAATGCAGCAACAAACACGGAGACACCGAAGGTGACAATGCAGCAACAAACACGGAGACAACGAAGGTGACAATGCAGCAACAAACACGGAGACACCGATGGTCACAATGCAGCAACAAACACGGAGACACCGATGGTCACAATGCAGCAACAAACACGGAGACACCGAAGGTGACAATGCAGCAACAAACACGGAGACAACAGAGGTCACAATGCAGCAACACACACGGAGACAACGAAGGTCACAATGCAGCAACAAACACGGAGCATGAAGGAGTGTCCCAGGAATCTTATCCATGCTAACAAGGAGGTCAAAGTTCAGCGCCTCTTTTGGCCTCGGGTAAAATATAGTTGGTTTGGGCGCCTTATAAGACCCAGGAGAGGCGGGCGCCGGTGGAACACTGCGATTTTAATCCTGAAGTGAGTGTATTATTTTTATTTTATTGAGGAGGACAATTTTATTCTAGGTGTTTGTTGTTTGTTCTTGTCTTGAAGTCGATAATTATTCTCGTTTGCGTCTTCAAGGTTACAAAAAATACGAGAAATTACGTGTAGCTGTTTCCACAAGAAACTATTTGTCTTTGCTTAATAAGAGACTAAATTATTGTTGGAAACTAGAGTGAACACCCAGAGAGTACACTCAGTGCTTCATCACCCTAGAGTGAACACCCAGAGAGTACACTCAGTGCTTCATCACCCTAGAGTGAACACCCAGAGAGTACACTCAGTGCTTCATCACCCTAGAGTGAACACCCAGAGAGTACACTCAGTGCTTCATCACCCTAGAGTGAACGCTGGTGCCCAGTGCACAGTGCACACAGCACCCTTGCACCCAGGTCATGCAGGAGGTCAAACGACCCAGTCCACGTACTGTGTTATGGCGGCGCCACACGTGAATACTCTACTATAGCGGCTCAACTTGACCGGTAAGGTTCAGACGTCATGACAACATGATGCAAAAGTCGTCCTCAAACCTATTAGAAGCTCCGGTGCAGTTGATTGTTGCAACGAAGAACAATCCGGTCACAAGCGTGGCTTGACCCCGCTGCAGGTGAAGCCAAGTTTATGACCATCGGGTTATTAATCAATCATCAATAGTTGTTGAACGAGTCGGCTAACCGGACGCCTAACCATTCGACCAATTAACTACCTAATTGACGTCTTAATTAAATGACTAGCTGCCTTGTTAGCTCCTTAATTATGTGCTAGTTATTTGTCTATTTTTTCTCTGGCAATCTAATTGTGTAATTGGTTGCTTAGGTAACTTGGTAACCAGCCAGTGATGGGCCTAACTGCTTACAATGTCTTGGCAAGGATATGACAAGGGAAGCTGAAGAGGTTAAATACATTTAGAGATCAAAGAGGGCGGGGGGGGGGGGGACAGAGGGCGGGGAGGGGGGGGGAAAGAGGACGAAAGGGGACAGAGGACGAGGGACAGAGAGAGAGAGAGAGAGAGAGAGAGAGAGAGAGAGAGAGAGAGAGAGAGAGAGAGAGAGAGAGAGAGAGAGAGAGAGAGAGAGAGAGAGAGAGAGAGAATTAGTCACGGTTCACTCCCCCTCACAGCATAGATCAGGCACATTGGTTTGTATTCAGACGCCAAGGACCGCCCGCGACTGTTGCAGACCGCGGCGCCTGTTGCAGACCGCGGCGCCTGTTGCAGACCGCGGCGCCTGTTGCAGACCGCGGCGCCTGTTGCAGACCGCGGCGCCTGTTGCAGACCGCGGCGCCTGATGCAGACCGCGGCGCCTGTTGCAGACCGCGGCGTCTGTTGCAGACCGCGGCGCCCTGTTGTAGACCGCGGCGCCTGTTGCAGACCGCGGCGCCTGTTGCAGACCGCGGCGTCTGTTGCAGACCGCGGCGCCTGTTGTAGACCGCGGCGCCTGTTGCAGACCGCGGCGCCTGTTGTAGACCGCGGCGCCTGTTGCAGACCGCGGCGCCTGTTGCAGACCGCGGCGCCTGTTGCAGACCGCGGCGCCTGTTGTAGACCGCGGCGCCTGTTGCAGACCGCGGCGCCTGTTGCAGACCGCGGCGCCTGTTGTAGACCGCGGCGCCTGTTGTAGACCGCGGCGCCTGTTGCAGACCGCGGCGCCTGTTGCAGACCGCGGCGCCTGTTGTAGACCGCGGCGCCTGTTGTAGACCGCGGCGCCTGTTGTAGACCGCGGCGCCTGTTGTAGACCGCGGCGCCTGTTGTAGACCGCGGCGCCTGTTGCAGACCGCGGCGCCTGTTGTAGACCGCGGCGCCTGTTGCAGACCGCGGCGCCTGTTGTAGACCGCGGCGCCTGTTGCAGACCGCGGCGCCTGTTGTAGACCGCGGTGACTGTTGCAGACCGCGGCGCCTGTTGTAGACCGCGGTGACTGTTGCAGACCGCGGCGCCTGTTGTAGACCGCGGCGCCTGTTGCAGACCGCGGCGCCTGTTGTAGACCGCGGTGACTGTTGCAGACCGCGGCGCCTGTTGCAGACCGCGGCGCCTGTTGTAGACCGCGGTGACTGTTGCAGACCGCGGCGCCTGTTGTAGACCGCGGCGCCTGTTGCAGACCGCGGTGACTGTTGCAGACCGCGGCGCCTGTTGTAGACCGCGGTGACTGTTGCAGACCGCGGCGCCTGTTGCAGACCGCGGCGCCTGTTGTAGACCGCGGTGACTGTTGCAGACCGCGGCGCCTGTTGTAGACCGCGGCGCCTGTTGCAGACCGCGGCGCCTGTTGTAGACCGCGGCGCCTGTTGCAGACCGCGGCGCCTGTTGTAGACCGCGGTGACTGTTGCAGACCGCGGCGCCTGTTGCAGACCGCGGCGAGGGTGGAAGGCAGTCGTCAGTTTCAATTAGCGGTCCCTGTGTCTCCCAGGGTAGATCAGAGGTAGACGACTCTCCCAGGGTAGATCAGAGGTAGACGACTCTCCCAGGGTAGATCAGAGGTAGACGACTCTCCCAGGGTAGATCAGAGGTAGACGACTCTCCCAGGGTAGATCAGAGGTAGACGACTCTCCCAGGGTAGATCAGAGGTAGACGACTCTCCCAGGGTAGATCAGAGGTAGACGACTCTCCCAGGGTAGATCAGAGGTAGACGACTCTCCCAGGGTAGATCAGAGGTAGACGACTCTCCCAGGGTAGATCAGAGGTAGACGACTCTCCCAGGGTAGATCAGAGGTAGACGACTCTCCCAGGGTAGATCAGAGGTAGACGACTCTCCCAGGGTAGATCAGAGGTAGACGACTCTCCCAGGGTAGATCAGAGGTAGACGACTCTCCCAGGGTAGATCAGAGGTAGACGACTCTCCCAGGGTAGATCAGAGGTAGACGACTCTCCCAGGGTAGATCAGAGGTAGACGACTCTCCCAGGGTAGATCAGAGGTAGACGTCTCTCCCAGGGTAGATCAGAGGTAGACGACTCTCCCAGGGTAGATCAGAGGTAGACGTCTCTCCCAGGGTAGATCAGAGGTAGACGACTCTCCCAAGGTAGATCAGAGGTAGACGACTCTCCCAGGGTAGATCAGAGGTAGACGACTCTCCCAGGGTAGATCAGAGGTAGACGACTCTCCCAGGGTAGATCAGAGGTAGACGACTCTCCCAGGGTAGATCAGAGGTAGACGACTCTCCCAGGGTAGATCAGAGATAGACGTCTCTCCCAGGGTAGATCAGAGGTAGACGTCTCTCCCAGGGTAGATCAGAGGTAGACGTCTCTCCCAGGGTAGATCAGAGGTAGACGACTCTCCCAGGGGTAGATCAGAGGTAGACGTCTCTCCCAGGGTAGATCAGAGGTAGACGTCTCTCCCAGGGTAGATCAGAGGTAGATGACTCTCCCAGGGGTAGATCAGAGGTAGAGTCGATTGATGTAGCCTCTGAAATAGATTTAGATTCACGTCAAAAGTACGTTGTGATCACGATCTTAGAGTCACACATGTTAGCGGTTAATCTAGTCACGTCTCCCGGTGCCTTGTATGGCGCGTACTGGTAACCTTTACTCTGGGGCTACGTAGCCTGACCCCAAGTGCTCACCTCGTCCTTGGAGGCTACAGGGCCACGTAGCCCCAGAGAGAGAGAGAGAGAGAGAGAGAGAGAGAGAGAGAGAGAGAGAGAGAGAGAGAGAGCTAGCCCTAGCCCTGGAGGGCTACATAGCCACGTAGCCCCAGAGAGAGAGGCTAGCCCTAGCCCTGGAGGGCTACATAGCCACGTAGCCCCAGAGAGAGAGGCTAGCCCTGGGGAAGGGCTACATAGCCACGTAGCCCCAGAGAGAGAGGCTAGCCCTGGGGAAGGGCTACATAGCCACGTAGCCCCAGAGAGAGAGAGGCTAGCCCTGGGGAAGGGCTACATAGCCACGTAGCCCCAGAGAGAGAGGCTAGCCCTGGTGAAGGGCTACATAGCCACGTAGCCCCAGAGAGAGAGGCTAGCCCTGGTGAAGGGCTACATAGCCACGTAGCCCCAGAGAGAGAGAGACTAGCCCTGAAGGGCTACCTACCCAGCCCCGTCCAGGGTCCTCAACCCCTGCAAGTTAAGCCCAGCGTGACGCAAGAATGTGTTAATTGAACGGCTGGACTCGAAAGCCAACGAGCTATCCTCAACCACCCCCCCCCCCGCCCCATAGTCTCGCTATCCTCTTCGCTATCCTCCTCGCTATCCTCCTGCCTCTCCCTTCCCCTCCCTCCCTCCCTTAGATTTACCTCCTCCTCCCTCACAAACCTCTGCCCGGCGACAGGGAGGCGAAGAACTTGGCGTCTAGAGGCGATTATGAATCGGGTTCGAGACGGTACAAATCTCCGGGTTCGAGCCCCGTGGAGGCGTCGCCGAAGAGAAGAAAAAACCATAATTTATCGTTCAGTCAGCCTGAGGGGTAATTCACTCGGGACTACGAGCAGGGGGGGGGGAGGGCTTTATGGGTGGGTGGGGGGGGTGTTGGTAAGGGGGGGTAAGGGTTATTAAGGGGTGAAGAAAAGGGGTAAAAGGGGGAGGGGGTCATTAAAGGTATGGGAGATAGCGAGTTAATGTTAGTTAATGTTAGTTAATTAGCGAGTTAATTAATTAGTTAATGTAGTGTGGTGTTGAGCTTGTTAGGGGGGGTGACAAAGGGGTGACAAAGGGGTGACAAAGGGTGATATATGGAGGAACTGTGGACGGGAGGTGGGGGGGGGGGGGCGGGTTGTAGCAGTCAAGGGTTTAAATAACAGTCTAATACCAAGTGCTTGGGTGGGGGGGGGGGTGAAGGAATTTAATAGAGGGCTGAGGGAGGGGGGGATAGGGAGGATTGGGGGGATAGGGAGGATGGGGGGGGGCATAGGGAGGATGGGGGGGGGGGAAGGCGAAGGGGGGGGGGGGGGGAGGGAGTGATGGTGTAAGAGTTACCTGATTGGTGAAGAATTCAAAATAACTTTCAAGCCATTTTGGTCTAAATCCCTCTCAGACTCTGCATCAAATCTGTTATTAAGAATTATTATTATTATTATGGAGAAAATCAGTAGGAGCTTCGAGGATTCGAACCTGTGTTCTGCGTACTGGCAAGCACATGGCTTACACCACTACACCATGACATGGTGAAAGGCCATGCAACTTGGGGTTTTGAGCATGTCGTGGTGCGGTGGTCTGAGGCGTGTGCTTGAACCCAGAGCATGGGTTCGAATCCTTCTCACGGCTCCAATTGATGTTGTCATTGATACATCATGTTAATGGGATTTCTTTAAGCATTATTATTATTAACATGATATTAATGATAAGCATTATCATCATTCAATATAGAATGTATGGATGGATTTATCAGGAGAAAGCGCCAGGCCATTACGACTATATACCAATAGGAAGTGGTTACGATAAGGATCTGGGATAGGACGAGGAGGAGGGGGGGGGAGGAATGATGCCCAACCACTTGAACGGTCGGGGATTGAACGCCGACCTGCATGAAGCTCTACCGTCGCTCTACCGTCCACCCCAAGTAACAAATTCTCCACAAATCTTACCAAGTTAAGGCGAGGCTGGAGGCGTGTCCCAGTAGTGATGATCTAATTCAATGTTTTTACAAGCTCAGGGCGGGACTTGCGTCGTGTACTCACCTACATGTGCTTGCCCGGTCGAGCTCCAGCTCCCAAGACGTCTGCTTGCTGGTCTCTCGTGGGCGCTGTAGAGCGCTGTGAATACTTTCCCACTGAGGTTCCCGAGTGACGCGGGCCAGGTTGTTGTTGTTAAAGATTCGCTACCTGCAACAAAAAGTTCCAAGTAGCACGGGCTATGGTGAGCCCGTAGTGCCTTATATTCGCGGGCCCGGGTCGCCAGCTTACACCATGCTGCTGGAATGGCCAGATTTACGTGCGTCTGGAGGGAGACTTATAGGTCAGTTTCCTTTGTTGCTTCTCTGTCGCCGTTGTCGTCACCTTGGTGGCGGAGGCGGTGGACAGGAAGGTCCACTGCAGCACCTCACAGTACCTGCAGGAGGGAGGCCGAGGAGGACCCACCAGCAAGGCTAGACCTGGTGGGCCTCGCCCAGAATGAGGCAGAGGTTGAGAATATAGAGAATCCTGGAAATTTGTAAAATGGTAGATATTGTCTCGATATTCACAAAGTGTGTAGACACAAGGCACTAACTTACTGACCAGTGTCACTGGGCAGTGGCACTGGGCAGTGCCACAGACCAGCATCACAGACCAGTGCCACAGACCAGTATCACAGACCAGCATCACAGACCAGTGTCACAGATCAGTGTCACAGACCAGTGCCACAGACCAGTATCACAGACCAGCATCACAGACCAGTGCCACAGACCAGTGCCACAGACCAGTGCCACAGACCAGTATCACAGACCAGCATCACAGACCAGTGCCACAGACCAGTGCCACAGACCAGCATCACAGACCTGTGCCACAGACCAGTGCCACAGACGGTCACAGACAAAACACTTACACGTAAAGTGACAACAAACGCACACACACTGAGAATAAGGAAGCACGCAGTAGGCTCAACAGTGTAACAAATGAGCATCATCAGAAGGGGAAAGTCACGCTTGGCAACCTTCAATAACTCAAGGCCAAGGCTTTACACACGACAGGAAAAAAAAGAGAGAGATGTGAAAGATTGTACAAAAATTAAATATACTTTTTCCTCTTGAATGGCTGTTGTACAAGATGGTGAAGCGAGTTGGTAAAACTAGGAAAGCCCTGAACTGGGTTAGTTCAAGTTCAAGTTCAAGTATGTTTATTGAGACAAGAAAAAAATACATCTCAAAGGGATAGAGTAGCTTAGGCTATTTCTACCCCCCAACTGGGTTAGGGTATTTACCTGACTGATGGAAAGCAAATTGTTAGCCAGAGAAAAGGTGTGGAGTTTTAACATGGAGTCCTCCAAGGCTCGTTCCTGGAACCATTGCTGTTCTTAATTGATGTGAATGACTTACCTGAGGCAGTGAACTCTTACATGTACATATTTGCAGACGACGACAAGCTGTAAAACCAGAGATGACTGGAGGAAATTACAAGAACTTGACAAACTTCAAGAGTGACCAGACAGATGGTTGCTAGAATTCAATCCTATTAAGTATAATGTAATGCACACTGGAAGGTGAGCAAGAAGACCAGAAGGACTCTAAGACTATAAGGACTCTAAGACTATAAGGACTCTAAGACTATAAGGACTCTAAGACTATAAGGACTCTAAGACTATAAGGACTCTAAGACTATAAGGACTCTAAGACTATAAGGACTCTAAGACTATAAGGACTCTAAGACTATAAGGACTCTAAGACTATAAGGACTCTAAGACTATAAGGACTCTAAGACTATAAGGACTCTAAGACTATAAGGACTCTAAGACTGTGAGGGGAAGGCCACTACAAGAATCAGAAAGTCAGATTTCAATATGGATCCTCTTCTAACACAAACACCAGAAGCCCACACAAGCAGGATAACATCGGCGCATAAGGAACCATTGTAAACATTTAAAACAATCTCTACAACGTATGTTAGACTAACAGTTGATTATGCAGTACCGGTCTGGAATCCGCACTTAGAGTTCAACCCAAAAATTAAAATGCTTGAAAGCTTGCAACAAGATTAGCGCCAGAACTTTAAGGATTAGGATACGAGGATAGGTTAAGGGATCTAAATCTTGCAACCCTTAAGGAGAGATGAAACAGAGAGGGGATATGATCACGACCTACAAAATACTGAGCGGGACTAGACAAGGTGGACTAGGATAACCTCCTTAAAATGAGAAAAAGAGGGACAAGAGGACATAATGGAACCTGAAAACGCGAAGGAATGTGAGGAAATATTCCTGCCCTAAGGGAGCCGGTCGGCCGAGCGGACACCACGCTGGACTTGTGATCCTGTGGTCCCGGGTTCGATCACAAGCGCCGGCGAGAAACATTGGGCAGAGTTTCTTTCACCCTATGCCCCTGTTACCTAGCAGTAAAATAGGTACCTGGGTGTTAGTCAGCTATCACGGGCTGCTTCCTGGGGGTGGAGGCCTGGACGAGGACCGGGCCGCGGGGACACTAAAGCCCCGAAATCATCTCAAGATAACCTCAAGATAACCCTGTACGGGAGGTCAGCAAGTGGAATGCACTGAAGAACTAAGTTGTGGAAGCCACCTCCAGCCACAACTTTAAGGCCAGATTCGACAGGGAGGTAAAACTTGACCTACAATACAAGATTGGAAAGAGAACCTTACCTTACCTTGCGATCATTTCGGGGCTCAACGTCCCCGCGGCCCAGTCCTCGACCAGCCCTCCTTTATGCCCCAGGAGAAGCATAGAGGTGCTGGATCCCTTGTCTTGCTCGAGGTCATTGTTAGGTAAGCGACTGTTAGGTAAGCACCCCTCCCTTAATCTCCTCTCACCCTCCCAGGCACTTGCCTCGCTCCTCCCTTAGTGACTCCCCCCCTCCCTACCCCCCCACCCTCCCTCCCTCCCTCCCTACCCCCATCCCTCCCCCCTCCCTCCCTCGCACCAGCTGCTTGAAATGGTAGGCATGAATCAGGTCTTTTGCTAATAGTTCACTAATTGTCCAAGTTGATGTTGGGGTGTCTGTTAGTGGGAGGGGGGGGGGTGACGATGGTGGTAGTGGTGATGGTGGTGATGGTGATGGTGATGATGATGGTGGTGGTGGTGATGGTGGTGGTGGTGATGGTGGTGATGGTGGTGATAGTTACAATAGAGATCTTGGTATTGAATATAATGTTTGTGGTGGTGAAGGTGCTTGTTGAGGTAATGGTGGTGATAGTGGTGGTGGTGGTGGGGGAGGGGGGAGTGCAAAATGTTGTTCACACTAGTGACTATCTTGTTGCTACCACGATCACCATCACCACCACCACCACCACCACCACCACCACCACCACCACCACCACTACCACTACCACTACCACCACCACTACCACCACCACCACCACCACCACCACCACCACCACCACCACCACCACCACCACTACCACCACCACTACCACCACCACCAGTTCCACCGAGAGACCTAAGGCCAGGAGATATCACCATGGCAACTGGTCCTATACATGGTTACCTTGTAAACTGTTAACTAAAATATTCCACTAACTACACGACACTAGAGAGCGCCCTGAGAGCTACAGGAGGGAGATGTAGTCACGATATTAAACAAAAAGGACAAAGAAGAGGCACTAAATTACAGCCTAAAGTCACTGCCATTCTTTGTAAAGTGGCGGAGGGAGGCTTCGAGCAGAGACACACAGCTTACTTTATAAACTTACTTTATAAACTGACTTACTTTATAAAGCTGATGGGCCAGACCTTCAGATGAGAAAATATTATATCTTTTATAACTTTATGGGCCAACTTTATGTACAATTCTATGATAAAGTCAACAAAATACGAAATACCAATTTTTTTAGAGTAGTCTGCATCTTTCTGGGAAGAGAATGAACTGGGTAAGAGATAGAGTACCTAGGGAAAAGGAAACAGAGAGTCATAGTGAAAGAAAGACTCGGTCTTAGAATCGTTACTGTTCCTAATTGATGTGATTTGTGAACTTCGAGAGAAAGCCAACCTGTTCATCTTTGATGATGATGCCACGCTAATGGAGAAGTGAATACGGAGGAGAATTGCACAGTATTCCAGGATGAGCTTGGTAAGCTATTGGACAGACAAATGGCTGTTTGAGTTCAACTCAAACAAATGCAAGGTAATAAAGAGTTTAAAGAAAAATTAGGAAGAGAACGGAATGGCTTTTAATATTATTAAGGAAAGGACTCAACTTAAATTCACAACTACCACCACTACCACCACCACTACCACCACCACTACCACCACAACTACCACCACTACCACCACCACTACCACCACCACTACCACCACCACTACCACCACCACTACTACCACCACTACTACCACAACCACCACCACTACCACCACAACTACCACCACTACCACCACCACTACCACTAACACATCGGCCTCGGCTTTCTCTCTTCACATCTAGAGTTCATATTATTCCCCTCTCCCTCATCCCTTCCCCCTCACTCTCCCTCACTCTCCCTCACTATCCCTCACTTTCCCTCACTCTCCCTCACTCTCCCTCACTCTCCCTCACTCTCCCTCACTCTCCCTCACTCTCCCTCACTCTCCCTCACTCTCCCTCTCAAATCCCGGTAATATTGGCGCAGGTGCCAACAATTGGAGCCATCACGCGCCAACCCTTCCGTTATTAGGGTGCTAATGGAAGGGTAATGGTGGGATGGCTGTAAGGGTGATGGTGGGTGACTATGGTGGGTGACTATGGTGGGTGACTATGGTGGGGTGACTGGTGGGTGACTATGGTGGGGTGACTATGGTGGGTGACTATGGTGGGTGACTATGGTGGGTGACTATGGTGGGTGACTATGGTGGGGTGACTGGTGGGTGACTATGGTGGGGTGACTATGGTGGGGTGACTATGGTGGGTGACTATGGTGGGTGACTATGGTGGGGTGACTATGGTGGGTGACTATGGTGGGTGACTATGGTGGGGTGACTATGGTGGGGTGACTATGGTGGGTGACTATGGTGGGGTGACTATGGTGGGGTGACTATGGTGGGTGACTATGGTGGGGTGACTATGGTGGGTGACTATGGTGGGTGACTATGGTGGGTGACTATGGTAGGGTGACTATGGTGGGTGACTATGGTGGGTGACTGGTGGGTGACTATGGTGGGTGACTATGGTGGGTGACTATGGTGGGTGACTATGGTGGGGTGACTATGGTGGGTGACTATGGTAGGGTGACTATGGTGGGTGACTGGTGGGTGACTATGGTGGGGTGACTATGGTGGGGTGACTATGGTGGGGTGACTATGGTGGGTGACTATGGTGGGTGACTATGGTTGGGTTACTATGGTGGGGTGACTATGGTGGGTGACTATGGTGGGTGACTATGGTGGGTGACTATGGTGGGGTGACTGGTGGGTGACTATGGTGGGGTGACTATGGTGGGTGACTATGGTGGGTGACTATGGTGGGTGACTATGGTGGGGTGACTATGGTGGGTGACTATGGTAGGGTGACTATGGTGGGTGACTGGT